GTTTTCCCAAGTTAATAATTTATAAGATATTTATTCTAGAATTAAATCATTTTCCACTCAAGATTCTAAGATTATGGCTTAGGAGCACTCTATTGGTCGCCTTTTTAATTAATTAAACTCTAGATTGTTTGTAAATTAAATTTTATTCCAGTACACCAGTCCCTCAAATTTTATAGTCTTTAAATTATTTGTAAAGGCAGTATTAAGTAATTAGAAGCCAATTTAATTATCATGAGTTTTCCTCTCATTTACTTTAGTTTAACTCTACTTGTGGAGCTATATATAGCCATTAAATCTCAGACTAACCGTAACTATCATTTATGAAAGCTTACAAAGTTGAAAATTAGAGGAAATGCTGGTTAAAAGTTGGTTCCTCACAGTTAGCATCTTAGCAAAGTGCATTCGGGAACAAAAAGAAAGGCAGCTTTGCCATCCTCGGGTGTTTTGATCATAATTGGAGTTACGCTTATCGGATTGAGGCGAATTTTATAGCGTTTCGAAGCTAAAACCTAGACCTACATTTCCTATGAAGACATCGACATCCAGTTATCGCGTTTTCAAGGCCAAAATGGGACGGTCAGAAGCATAATCTGTTTCATTTCTGGGACAGCAACCAAAACTAGTAACGTTACTTCAACCTTCAGCGAAAACGCTATTCTTTCACTTGCTTAAAGCTCTAAATATTTAAAGTACATTCAGTCCAGCATAAACCAAGACAAAGAGCATCTAGTTTCAACAGATTATTCAACCCAACAGCCACGCACAACAATCTGACATCAGCTAAGACATTGGACAACTAAAGCTTCTAGCAGTGCCGCAGTTTAATATGCAACATTTTTACCATAACTCCTTCAATTTTAACTCCAGCTCATCATGCCAAATACAAGTATTAAACTACCCAGTAACTTTAGATATCAGATGTGAAAGTTTACAGAGTGGAGTTTGAAGGAAAAACTGATCAGAGGTTTAACTCTCTCTCTCTCTCTCGGCCTTGATAGAAAGCTTCGGACAGCAATCAATCTTTTAGCAAGAAATTCCTCCATTAACTACTTCATTTCATACCCAAATCTAACATGCATGCCAAAACTAAAATATTATGCAATGAACTAAGCCTCAACGTAGGAGTTTAGAACCAAAATATATAAAGAAACTTGGACATTTCTGTCTTTCCTCCTTCGGCCAGCATAGCAGAAACTTCCAACTATTTCCTTCAACCAAGCTTAGTTTTTCTTAGCTACAATCCAACATGCAACCTTAATATTCAAGTGTACTGAATAACTAAGAGGTTATTACGGAAAATTTTCTTTATTTATGGGCTGCAACTCAACAACAACTCTCGGTTCCCTCCATTTCTGTCCAGTTCTCATCTTTTTCTCCTTTATCAGATTTCTCCTCGGTTAAAACTCATTATGCCTTGCTAAAACTAACATGCAGCTTGTATATATACTTATTTGTGCCAAATAAGCAGAAGGTTATGGTAGATTCTTACCTCTTTTCCCTTACAAATCGATAATGCAGACTGCTCAAGTTTGCTATCACAACTCCTCACTCGACCTCCCTTCTGTTTTCGTTCGTATAGTTAGCTGATGGTGAAGCTTACACTTTCTTTTCCCTCACACTCTGTCTCACTCACTCGAGTCTGCTTTAGGAAGAAAGCAAGAAAGGGAGACAACTTTTCTTCTCAACTCTCTCGGCCTTATTGATTAAGGAGAACAGATTGTTTCCTTTCGGTCACCGCCCAGTTTTTTTTTTGTTTCTTTTAAGCTGCTCTCTATTTAGTTATTGCTTACTCAGCTGGCTTAGTAACATTTCCTTCCTGACAGCTGTCTCAATTCACCGCCCAAGCTCAGTTACATCTTAACTTCCCACCGCTTGGATTTAGCAGATAATTGCCTAGCCTCCGTTCGGTTCTAATCACAGAAGCCTTCCTTTCTCGGTTTTGTTATAAGCTTTGATAGTTTATGTCTTGGCTTCATGGTAGTTAGGCTAAAATCTTGAGGGTAGTTTAGTCTTTTTGTTGTAGTTTATTTGCTCACCGAGGCCTAAAATTTTATGATTTCATGCATGGACCCCTAACTTCATTTGTATTTTCGTGAAAATTTTCTTACGTTGATTTAGTTGATTTCGACACATTTAGCTTTAAGAAAACCTCATTAGACATGTACTTGTTAAATTTATTTATTTTTTTCTAACTTCTCAATTTATGGGGGTCCAATTAGGCATTTAAGGTAACCGTTTATTTGTTATGTATAATTTTTCTAATATCAAAGTAAATAAAATAAAAATAATTTTAAGGTATACACATAATTTTCTCGGGTTCTCACATAAGGTGTAGTATGGTGAACCAAAAAATTCAGATGCTGTTAAAATTCAGGAGGAGATCACTGATGAGGCAATTGAAGGAGGTTATATTGTGAAAATTTATGAAATGATACCCAAGGATAATGGTGGTAACATAGCTGATAAAAGGCCTTACAAAAATTTGAAGGATTGTTTTATGTCTCTCATAGCAATCATTTTTTGTATTGTGAATTTCTTCTTCAGGTTCATCTATTACGTATGGGAGTTCCACTTTCAAGTTGCAAAGAAGTTATTTGAATACATCGAAAATTTTGGTATTGATTTTGAAGTTTGGCTCAAGAAACATTGCAAGACTGATGGCCAGATTGCAGACATTTTTATGAAAGCCTTGTCCAAAACAAGGTTCAAAGATTTGAGAAGGCAATTGAAAATCTGCAGCAAAAGTGGCAAGGAGGAGTGTTGAGATATGCCAACTTTTCCTACAGATTTTATCAGATTGGGTTTGATATCAAAATAATTTAGTTATTAGAAAATAAGGATATTTGTTAACCAAAGATCATGTTGGTTTGTTAACAAATATATTAGCTAAGATTTGCTAGTAGTAGAAGATTATATTTTTGTTGAGATTTTTAGGATAATTATTAGTTGGATATTTTGCTAGTTTGTTTCATGTAATCACTATAAATAGTGAGTTGATGAATGTAGAATATAAGCTCATTTTCTGCCTTCAATACAAGTCTCTTATAAGCTTTTTTTGCAATACTAGGGTATTGTTTCTTAGTTTATGCCCCAAAAAACCAACAAATTGTCAAAACTAACTAAACAATAGGCCAGTGACTAAAAGTTTAAGGATTAAAGTGAAATAAATTTTATACTTTAGAGATTAAAGTGTCCAAAATTAGAGTATAAGAACTAAAGTGGATAGATTTCATATTTTAGGAGATAAATGTTTAAAGTTTAAGTTTAAGGATGGCAATGGAAGCTCATTTATAGTTTAAAGGTCTGAAGTAAAATGGTCCAGATTAGACAAAGTTAATGTGGTTCAATTTTAGCCCATCAAAATTACTTGTGCATCTGGAGGTGAGAACCCGAATCCCAAATTATCTTTCACCTCCATTTAAGAAGGATTCAAGATTGTTGGAAAAAATATTCAAATCCTTGAAACTGTTTTGATAGCTCATGATTTTAGTCTAACATTAATTCCTTAATAGTAAATAGCTTGATGCACGAACAACCTATCAGCTTATTTCTTTTCTGGATTTTTTAAAAAAATCAAATGTTTTTTGAGGATGCCCAAAAGTTTTTTTTTTTTTTTTTTGTTCTTTCTACTTGTAGGATTAAAAAGAAAATGATGAGGGGAGTAGTAATTCTTATTTCCTTCGTGCCATTATGTTCATTAGTTATTTTTAGAGATTTGGTCTACAAACCGCTCCACCAGTCCATATAATATTTCATTTCAATAATTAATAAAATCTGGGCTGGTATCCATCCCTTTATGGGGTTTGCTGAATAGAAAAAATGAGTTCCTCTGAAAAACACATGTAAACTGATTTTCTAGAAGAGGGAAAACAAAATTTATTTTTGAACTTAAAATAGGCAAATATGGATATACAAAAAAAATGTTTTATCTTCTAGCATACTTATTTTAGTTAAGGATAGCAACCCAATAGCATTCAAAAACATATTTATATGACTAATTTCATGAATTTCACAAGATACAACACAAGATCTTTTGCTTCTCCAGACTGCATTGAGTAATTGTGTAATTGTCAAAGCAATAGATATCATGCAGCTCATGCCTAGATGTATCTAATTTGAAACATTGATTTTGCGACAAAATTGGTTGTATTTTTCGTACATTACTATCTAGAGCAAATTGTCCCAATAGCTATTAAACTTTTCGAATAGTGAAGTTTTAGCCATTCAACTATAAATAGTATATTTTTACTCACTAAACTATTAAAAGTGTAAATTTTTTGTCATTCCGTCTGATTTTGCCACTAACTCTACCAAATTTAACCATTAATATTATGTCTCGTAAATCATGTAGACCCTCAGATCTAATGGAGTTAATGGTGAAATCAGACAGAATGACTCAAAATTTACACTTTTGATAGCTTAATGGGTAAAAACATACTACTAATAATTGAGTAGTCAAATCTTGACTATTGAAAAAGTTTAGTGACTACCCGGATAATTTGCTCTATTGTCTATATTTGTTGTGTACATTTTTTATATTAGTACGTATTATGGAGCAATTGAATCTAACAATTATACAAGCCCTGAATCCACTCCAAAATGATATACTCACAATCAAACGCATCTAGATAAATATTTGACCTTTTTCCCAGGACAATTGTACTCAGAGCTCCAATCCTCTTCCCAAAATTCCTTAAAGGGTTTGATCTATGGCCATCTGATTTCCTATACCATTACATCAACTTGTTCACTACGAAATTTCAACTGATGCACATGTGACAATTGAGCTTACTGGTTTTTATGCTCTGGTTACAGTAAGGCATCAAGCTTCCTGAATTTGTTACTGTCAAAGTTGAAGCTTGTCCTAAGGATTGTCCTATGCAAGGACTGGATGATTGAAGTACGTTTAGCCTTCTAAGAAAAGAGTACTAAGATTTAAGTTTCTTGAATTAAAAAAGCAAGCAATGATAAACTCAAAATCTTGAAGTTAAAAAGTCAGATTTACAAACATGAACAATTCTCACGTCAGAGAAGAAAATCTAAAATTTGAAGAGAATTCAATGAACAAATTCATGTCTGCTGCTCTGACTAGAGGCAAGCAATGACAAACTTAAAATGTTGAAGCTAAAAAGTCAAATTTACAATAATGAACAATTCTCACGTCAGTGAAGAAAATCTCTGTTTGAAGAGAATTCAATGAACAAATTCATATCTGCTCCTCTGACTGAAGAGTCTTTGACTTGAAATCCCAACCGTCAAGGTTTCTGAGCTGTGAAATTTGTCCTTTTGTTCTTTAACGGATGAATTCATACAAAACAACAGCAAATCTGAGCCCGACAGTTCCAAATTGACCTTGGCGCACGTATTTATGTTTTCTAATGAGAACACTGTAGAACAACAGAGACACCAATCCGCCTGTCTGCAATTCATGAAACGACGATTATGATCAATTGACAAATCAGTTTGCAGCAAACTATTAACAGATGCATCAACAAAAGCTCGTCTGTTAGTAGTTTCTGTTTTTGTTTCATATGAACTGAGTCTCCTGGCAGTGTTATGATTAGACAGAATGGCCCTACGTTTAGATGACTAAAGCCACAGAAAACCACTAACAACACTAGCACTTCATGAATCTAGAAGACTAGGAATACCTAGTTAGTATATATGAAATGTTGTCATTCCAAGTCCCCCGATCATCACTCAAGTGTCTTTCCCGAGAAGGCAGCGAGTTCCCAGCCTGATTTCAGTATCCTCTCTATTAACTTAATACCTTGAAGACAGGTTGTGAAAGGAATCTAAGGGGCAGAGAGAGAGAGAGAGAGAGAGATCAATCCAAACACTAGCAAGAAAAAGTAAGTCAAATCAATCTTCAGAAGTGCTTATATTTGTTGCTGTTCTTAAAAAACATTGGCAAGAAATGTTTATTTGAGCAGCAGCAAAGTACTTGCTCTCAAAGCATAGGCGTTCTGGTGTGCTAGTCTGAATTTCAAGAAAACATCTACAGGCTGGAGGCAAACAGCAGGAAGTAATCATTCACAGCCTCAACAAAATTGCAAGAGGAAAGGTCAGCTCATTGAAAAAAGAATGGACGAAATTAACAAGGCTTCATCCTGAAACGGCACACAGCGATACTGCTATCCAGCCCTAAACCTGTGACTTAAAGCATGGACTTAATAAACATTATCAGACTGAAATTGGAAAACCATAATCTAGTCCCCATTAAAACAAATTTGTAATTTAAAACCCCACAATGTAAAGGAAACACCATGGTAATTACAGGTGCAAGTTGAAAACATTAGCTCTAACCCAGTTGAATTCAGATGGCTACCTTTCTTCCAAATGTCTTTCATATGATGATGGATATTGCAACAATGGCTATATGGAGAAAATACATTGTTCATGGTGTGATATTGACACAAACTATAAGAATTTTTAATGTGATATTCACACAGACTATTAGTCCTGGATTTCACCTTGATTTATTCACAGGTTAATACCAATTTTCTGTGGCACTGAATAAATTTGAACAGTAAAACTTAGACATACCAATTCCTTGCATAATTTTATAAAATACATGTAGATTGCTAAGGAGGTATTTGTTTATCAATTGCCAAACATTTTAACCAGCATTCATGCTTATGTGATAAACAGGAAGGATTCCTCATTACTCGTGAGCTGGCTTCCAATATGAGAGTGCATAGATAACTCGTCCCTTCCAGCCCTGCAGTATCCACTTGCCATCCTCATCCACCAGAAAATCCTTGTGATACTGCAGTTTCACCTTGGCCCTAACTTCTTTGACAATGTCCTTGTTCAATGGAATCTGCCTGAATCCAGCTCTTTCATTTCTCGCTTGCCATTGCTTGTATGTCTCTGGCCTCTCAATCCTTGCAGTACCTTCACATGCTATGACATTCATAGACTGCCTCCCAAGGACTTCTTTCTCAAACACCAACCTATCTTGATCATGGCGTGGTAAGGTCTTATCAAACATATCAAACAGAGAGGAGAAATGATGTAGTGCCTCTCTAAACCGCATGACAAAAAAGGGAGCATTATATGTTCCATTAAGGATTCCATGTACGAAAAGATCAGGATTTATTTTCTTGATCAAGTGGAGAACGGTGTCTCTTGCACTGCTTGTAACTGATGTCTCATCAGGAACATTCCTCAGCCTGTACAAACAAGTTGCTATGACTGTTTCACATCTGTCAATCTTCAATTCTTCTAGGCTAATGGTTTCCCATTTCCTTGCAATAGCATGATATTCAAATGGAACATTGAATTTCTTGCAATAATGGGCAAGCCTACGTCCAGTTTCCTCAACTCTTTCTGCTGGCCGAAGACCCGGTTGGGGAAGATCTATACCTGTAATGCGAAGCTTTGGGGGCCCTCTGGGCCTCTTCGATAAAGCCTGGATAAAGCAGGGCCAGTGAAATCCATACAGAATACCAAAATCAATTATGTGAATTTGGCTTGCTTCTGTAGTCAGTTTTTGAATTGTCTTCCCAGTAAGAATGTTTGACATTTTGCGGAAGGGGGATGCCAAGATATATGCCTGATAGGCTTTCAATGTATCTGCTGCTGACACTCTCGTAGAAAAGGCTGTATACATAGTTGTTCCCATACCAGAAACGCGTGCCTCAAGGGCATCAGCAAAGTAATGAGCCAATCTTTCATTACCATCACCATGAGGAGAAGAGTGTTGCCTAATCTGATTCAGCAATTGGTTGGCAGTTCGATTATCAAAGTCTGATATGGATTGTGCACATTGAGTAAGGAGGCTTCTCATATCAACCACTTCCCTTATATTCAGTTTCCTCTCACTAGCACGTGGCCTCCCTCGTTTGGGCTCTTGGGTTAGGCCAATCTGCTGGTTATTCCGTCTTCCTGGTTTTGCCTCACAGTAAGACAAATCCCAAGAACCAGCGTTCGAGCTCGAGCAAAGCAGCGCCTCATCGAAAATCTCAGTTGGCTCTTCAGCATAACTGGCAAATTGCTTTGTAGCTCTCCCTGCCTCTACATGCTCATCATCTTGTCTATAATGATTTCTTTTTTTTGCTGATCCATTTGTAAATTTGTCCCTCTCTTTCTCCTTTTCGTCAGCCACCTTAATAACCTCCACTCCTAAAACAACAAGGGAGACAGTCATTTGTTTGTTGATTTTGCTCTTTTCTCTACTCGAACAGTTACACAATATCGTTCTTATTAATGCTACAGCAATCTAGAACAAGAATAAATACCTGCTTGTTAAAGAGTGACTAAACCACAACTAATTTTTTGAGTAAATACAAATAAAGAACCACAATAGAGCAAAGAAATGTGAACAAATTGGTAATTAAGTGAGCCTTGAAGTAGAGATTTTTATGCAATCAGGTTGTTTCCAATTCCAGAAATACTAGAATAAATATCGCCAGAAAGCTCAATCACTAGAAGAAAGGGTTGGTTCATTTAAAGTTCCTTACCAGTGAGGGCATCATAGAAGGATTTCTCAGCAGCTTGTAAAGCCGAGAGCTCTTGATACATGCAAGGCCTCTGCTCCAAGTCTTCCCCCATCAGCATTTGATTCAGGTACTGGAGTACAGCACCAAAGGTGTCCCCCGGCAGCGAAGAATCCCCGTCATGCTCACCTGGAAGTGCATCAACAGGGAAATTTGACAGATTTAGAGGGCCAGACGATGTAATTGAAGGGAAATCATACTCGAATCCCGCCATGACTTCTTACAACCTCGCAAGAATTGTCAGATGTATAAATGTAAACTAGAATAGACAATTCTTGTTTTAACAGCTTCTGGAAAGTCAAAAAGATGATCCTTGAAAGGGCTGAATATTAAATAAGAGAAGCTTTTCAGTTCCCTGCTGTTCGGAAATGATCAAACATTTGAGTTAATTTATCTGGAAGGCTTGAAACAGTAAAATGTTGCAGCACAAGAAAGATGCAAAAATGGGGGTCTGAAGTCTCAGCTAAATATAGATATGGAGTGATGGATGGAGCATCGCCGCCTGGGTGCTGCCATCGCCGAGTTTCCCTTCCGGTTCCCCTATAAACTGTCCAGGTTCTTTTGATAAAAGCATAGAGGTCAGAAAAGGCGGCCACTTGTTGGCGTGACTTCTCAAGATTAGTTTACACTTAAAAATTCGAATCAAAGTAGTTTTAACTACACATTACAATGTACAGTCCTTAAAGCAATGGCGGAATCCGAACCCCCAGGCAGTGGTGATAATAATATTATCGATCTAAAATGATATAACTATTATGTGAAGAAAAATTTAATTAAAGATTATGTTTTAATTATCAATTTTTTGTGTTATGAAATGATTGAAGTTATTTCTTATTCAAGTAGAAGTTGATTTTGTCTTTTAATAGCTTTAAAACATTTGTATTGTACGAGCGGTGTTCTAAAAATTGATTGTTCAAAGAAATAATGGGTGGTGAATGAAGATTTCTCAAAATATAAGGGGTAATATAAACAAAAATATGTATTTTTAAAAAAATTAGGGGTGGGGATACAATTACGATAAAAAAAAACATAAAGATTTGTAATAATTCTAAGGCTATTTTTTAAAATTTTGCAAAGTTGATGGGGTGCAATTGCCCACTCTCAACATAATGTGTGGCTTTGCTGCCATTGATGTAGACATTAGCGCAATAAATATAAATACTAGCACAACATATTTAGACGCTAATACAACAATAGGCAAAAACCGAACAATTTTTATAACTTTAAGAAAATTGGGCCCAAAATGTAATCCTAACCATCCAAATTTAAATTCGTTCATCTCATACAATAAATTGTTCTATGCAAGCATAGATGTGATTGCAAAGAACCCCAATACAAAAATGCCTAGCCCTTCTTATATTCCCTCCGTCCCATTGTTAATGTCATGTTTTCACTTTTTTGTTGTCCCAAAATAAGAGTCTCATGGCAAAAGTCAAACAACTTTCACTACTACTTTTCTTTTATACCCTTAGTAATAATGACAAGATTCCATCAATTAATAATAAACAATTACATATGGCCCACCACAACACATGCACACTGTCAGGCTGCTAAGTATAAGGACTGCAGCATAATAAAGGCTCAAGTTGAGCCTTAGTCTGCTAATTCAATGGAATGGTACAAACGATGCTGTTTTGGTTTTGTTCACATACTAGTAAACGATGTCGTTTCATGTAATGAGCCATTAGTTAGGTAATTCAGTTGTAATCGTCTGACACAAGCTGTTAGAATTGGTTATATTACGCGGGGCCCACATGAATGAGAAAAACAGATTAGATGTGATCATTTCTTACACTTCCTCTCTTCTGCATTCTCTTTCTCTCTCTTTCTCTCTCAATCCTCAATTCCCTGTTCTTCCTCCAATTCCTCCTAATTCTACCAAATCACCCAGATCAATCAATACAATTCCAGAAACAACCTTGAGTTCGTGACAAAGTGGTATCAGAGCAGTAGATCCTTGGAATTTGCAACACAATCATGGCAGAGAGCACAAGATTTCGCACCATCGAAGAGCAAGTCAGGAAACAAGAAATCAAGTTACAAGAAGTGATTGAATCCCTACACACTTCCAAATCTGAACACCAGCAAATCAGGAAAGACTTGAAGGTGGAGCTTGAAGAGAACAACAGGCGGATGGAAGGCCTGTTATCAGGAATGGAGCAGAACTTCACTCAAATGTTTGAGCAGAAATTCAATGATCTGCTACTGAAGCTGAACTCTGGCAAGGAACAAGCAAACGAGGAGAGTAGCAGAATGATCGACCAGCAGCCAATCCTACCAACTCCACCAGCTCATCAGAGATTAACCACAGACTACGAGACTCAGAGATCCTTCAGGAAGGATGGGAGTAAGTTTCACATTCCAAATCCTCCTAAGATTGATTTACAAATGTTTGCTGGAGACAATCCTAGAGAATGGTTACGTAAATGCAACAAATATTTTTTGAACTATCAAGTTCCAGAAGAACATAAAGTAGATGTTATTGAAATGTATTTGGAAGGCAGGGCTGATAAATGGTTCCAGGGAGTAAAAATTGCGAAACCTAAGATGAGTTGGGAAGAGTTTGCGAATCTGCTATGCTGCAGGTTTAATGAAAGGACCTGTCGAGATATAGTGGAAGAATTTAATAAACTACAGCAGATAGGCACTGTTGAAGAATATCAGGAGAAATTTGAGGAGTTAAAAGCCTTGATGATGATAAGGAATCGAAGTCTGGATGAGACTTATTTCATTTCCAGTTTCATAAGTGGACTAAAGGAAGAGATCAAACCTATGATCAAGATGTTGAAACCTGCTACTCTAGCTGAAGCATTTGAACTGTCTCAGTGGCAAGAGTATGCAGTGAAACTGCAGAATAAGAATTCTAAGGAGAATGTCAGACCACTAGGAGAAAACAGGCTTGGATTGTCAAGAAACACTAGTACAGCATTGGGGATTAACTCGTATAGGATTCCAAACCACAGCAGCTCCAATCATCCTAAATTAGTCAATAGGCAAGAAGGCACTAAGGACCCTAGGAGACTCTCTGCACAGGAAATGCAATATAGGAGGAACAATGGACTGTGTTTCAAATGTGGAGAGAAGTATGGAGTTGGCCATCAGTGCAGGGTTGGCCATACACACTGTATGATATTAGAAGAAGAAGAGGAAACTGCATTTGAGGATGCCTTGGGAGAGCAGGATGAACATACTGGGAATCTTGGTCAACCCATGGAAATGTCTCTGCATGCATTATCTGAATCCTTAAAGAGGAAGACAATCACACTCACAGGAATCTTAGATGGAGAAGAGGTGTTCATCTTAGTAGATACTGGGAGCTCTAACAGCTATATCAGCAGTGAATTGGTTATTGGAATGGATGTCAAGTACCAATGGGTGGATCAGCCTTTCTCAGTTATCATGGGGAATGGAACTACTGTCACCAGCAATGCTATTTGTCCTGGGGTACAGTGGAGCATTAACCAGCACAAATTCAAATTCAACCTCAAAGCAATGGAACTAGGAGGGTGGGATATAATACTAGGCGTGGACTGGATGACATACTTCAGTCCCATCACCTTTGATTTCCAGCAGCTCAGGATATCACTGCATCATGAAGGAGGGGAGATTCACCTACACGGGCAAGCAGACAATTGTGACATGGACCTGATCAGGGGCAAAGATTTGAGGACATTCATTGAATACAAAAGGCAGATGTGCATGGCCATGTCTTCACAACAGCAGGATGGAAGCAGACTGGAGTCCACCCCACAGGAAGTACAGGAACTACTGCAGGAGTATGAAGACATATTCCAGACTCCTAGTTCATTACCCCCTAGCAGAAGTGTGGACCATGAGATACCTCTTAAACCAGACGCTCAACCATTCAAACTCAAACCTTACAGATATCCTCACTGCCACAAGGAGGAAATAGAGAGGCAGGTGACTGAAATGCTGCAGAAAGGTATTGTAAAACACAGTAACAGTCCTTTTGCCTCCCCTGTGCTACTGGTCAAAAAGAAAGAAGGAACTTGGAGGTTCTGTGTGGACTATAGGAAGTTGAATGACCTCACTATCAAAGACAGATTTCCAATACCCAATGTGGATGAATTACTGGACGAACTGGCAGGAGCTGTGTTCAAGACTAAGCTGGATTTGACTGCAGGTTATCATCAAATCAAAGTCAAACCTCAAGACACCTACAAGATAGCTTTCCAGACGCATTGTGGACATTTTGAGTTCTTGGTTATGCCATATGGCCTCACAAATGCCCCTGCAACATTTCAAGCATTGAAGAACCAGGTGTTTCAGCCTTATCTAAGAAAGTTTGTCCTAGTTTTTTTTGATGACATACTGATATATAGCCCCACACTAGAGGATCACCTCCATCACCTGAGAATTGTGCTAGATCTATTGAAGGATAACCAACTGTATGTGAAGAAATCTAAATGTGAATTTGCTCAGAAAAGAATAGATTATCTGGGACACACCATCACTGATAAGGGAGTTCAGATGGATGACTCCAAAGTCAGTAGTATATTACAATGGCCTGTACCCCAAACTGTCAAGGAGTTGAGGGGGTTCCTGGGCCTAACTGGCTACTACAGAAGATTTATTCAACATTATGGATTGGTGTGCAAGCCCTTGACTGAATTACTCAGGAAGGACAGCTTCAAATGGTGCCCACAGGCGCAGACAGCATTTGAACACTTGAAAAGGTTGATGTGTTCAGCTCCAGTCCTTAGTTCACCAGATTTTAAAAAGGCATTTGTGTTGGAAACAGATGCCAGTGGGGGTGGTATTGGAGCAGTCTTGATGCAGGAAGGGCACCCCATTGCTTTTTTGAGCAGAGCATTGTCAACCAAGAACCTGGGATTATCAGTCTATGAAAAGGAACTTCTTGCACTAGTAATGGCAGTAACGAAATGGAGGCATTACTTGGTGGGAAGTCACTTCATTATCAGGACAGATCACCAATCCTTGAAATATTTACTGGATCAAAAACTGAATACTGCTCTCCAGCATAAGTGGATGACAAAATTAATGGGCCTGGACTATGAGATACAATACAAAAGAGGGACTGAAAATCTGGTGGCAGATGCCCTATCTAGAAGGCAGGAAGCTGTTAGGGACTCTCCCTTGCACTCATGCTTGGCTATTACTGCAGTAAGACCTGTCTGGATGGAAGAATTGCAGAAAAGCTATGTAGGGGATGATCACTGCCAGAACATTATGGCTCAGCTGATACTGGATCCTAATGCTCACACAGATTATACTATGGTGGATGGAATGCTGAGGTATCAAGGGAAGCTGTATGTGGGGAGTGCCAATAACATCAGAAACCAGGTCATACAAGTACTTCATGCTTCAGCAATAGGGGGACATTCTGGACAGAACAGCTGTTGGCAGAAAGTCAGATCATTGTTCCACTGGCCAGGGATGAAGCAGGAGGTAGTAACTTTCATACGCAATTGTGATACATGCCAGAGAAACAAATCTGAGAATGTGCTTTACCCTGGTCTTTTGCAACCAATTCCAGTTCCTACACAGGCATGGACCCATATTGCCATGGATTTTATTGAAAAACTACCCAAGTCACAGGGTTA